GATTTTACGATCCTCGATGTTCTCATTTTCGGTGGCCGAGTCTTCTTTAACTTATATTTTTTAATTTCGGCCTTTAAAACAGCTTATTTTAATTAAAGATGAACAGCGATTTCAAAGTAAGCCGCAAGCGTACCTCATTTGCATAAGTTTTAGTGCCCATCGAGCGAGCGACACATTTTCCCACAACTCACGATAACTGGTGTTGCGCATGCGAAATTCACGAGTTAAAAATATGATCATTTTCTGGCTTTCCAACTTACTTTCATTATCAGCTACTCAGTTTTCGTGTTTCATGAAGAAGATTAGAACTGGGGGTAACACTATATTGAAAGCCTGCTAACTACCTGTAAATGCGAAATTAACACGAAAGAAGACAACAAAATTAATTAAGATCGAAACACTTATCAGTTTCCTGAATGAAATCCATAGTAAATCTATGTTGACTTGCTAAGTGACTAATTGAGGAAAGTAACTATTAATTCTAATGACGTTATGTTCGCCACTTTAATTGGCCACTAATTCAGCTCACTTACGAAAGGAATACGTTCGCAAATCTGGACACGAAAATACAGGAAAGTATAGAGTGGTTCAAGTGCCCGGAAGTTTTAATCAAAGGTTTCTGTTAGTGCCCAGGCCACAAGCGAGAGTTTACTTGTAGCCAGTTATCAAAAACCCTAATTTCATTTCTGAGAATAGAAACCGAAAGAGTCGCCCTACCAGTCATTACTCCATGTTTTCTGAAAGACATTTAAAACAATTCTTTGTCTGAAACAAAAGAAATGCTATTAAAAAAGAGAGCAGTTGGAGGTATTATGTGGACATGGACTTCATCCGGCAGTTAATCATAGTGTCACTGAATTTATTATCTCGCAAGCAAATCGGTATAACATAATTTACCTGAGGTGCTCCACAGCAGAACAGATGAACACGACACACCGTGCGTAAAGTACTGTACGATCATGTACAACAACTCAAGTCAAAGCAACAATCCCTCATCAGGAAGCGAAAGTTACGCCGACTTTTACGACGCTGTCTGCGTTCTAAACGCTGTTTTCTCGCTGACGGCGTTTGCTGGAAATTTCCTCGTCCTCGGCGCAATTTCAACGACGCCAACTTTACATCAGCCAACAAATATTCTACTCTTTGGACTCTCGCTGTCTGACCTGGCAGTCGGTTTGCTTGTCCAGCCGATGTTCATTGTGCGTGTCATTTACAAAGTGAACCGCGACTATCGTCAAGTCTTCAGATTCACCCAAGCCTTCTTCATCTCTGCCACAATTTTGACGCTCACCTCGGTCAGCGTGGACAGATGTCTTGCTCTCATACTGCATCTCAGGTACGTCGCTGTCGTTACCGTAAAGAAAACTATCCTCGTACTCTGCCTCATCTGGCTAACAAGCGTGGTGTATGCCGGAACGTTCCTTATTGACGGGGAGTTACATCACACTGTCTCGATGTTCGTTATCGCTCTATGTATCGTGGTAAACTCATTGGCGTGTTCGACGATCTATCGCATTTGTCGGCGGCACCGAATTCAGATTCAGAATCAATCACTGCCAAACCAACCTGAGGCCTTTGACATGAAGCGTTACAGAAAATCTCTCATCACCATGATAGCATTACTAATTTTACTTATTATCTGTTATTCTCCTTATATTTGCATGCGCGCTGTTGCTAACTTCACCGATTGGCTTTCCCCGCCACACGGAGCATTTATGTTGAGATGTTCAGCCACGCTTGTTTATCTTAACTCGTCAGTCAATCCCCTAGTTTACTGTTGGCGTCTGCCAGCGATGCGCGTTGCAGTGAAACGGTTTTGGAGGTCATTGGTTCATCGTTAGTCAACTTCAAATCGTTCGTTTTGGTGTCAGCCTTGAACGTGTTTCAAATCAAGCTTGGTTTAATTTCTTTTTCTTCGACAAACAGAGTTGACCTTTTTGCATTGTGTTTATTTCGTTAGCACTGTTATATAGTTAGGTCGCACTAAGATCGTTTTTCACCAAGTTGTTTATGTAGCATGTTAAAATAGCATCCAAAAAGTTCAAGTTTGGCACTGCACTGCCTTAGCCAGGGCATATATTTCCCGCTTTTTGTCAGCTGCTGTATTTCAGGGGATTTTCGTGTTGGGGTTTGGTGTATTTAGTTTTAACCTTAATTTGAAAATTACAGAAGGCCCTCCAGCAAGCGATTTGAACAATCTTACAGTCGGCTGTGTTGAAAATTCCGTGTTTTTCCTTGTTCTTGGCACGATTTGGAAAACACCTTCTTTACTCGGCTAATGGCTTTTTTAGAAAGTTAATTGTACCGTTTTTATGGCATTAAAAACGTCAGTGCTGCGTGTACGTCACGATGATAATAACAACTTGATTACTTAATGAATAGGCATTCATTTCATAGTAATTGCTTTAGCATCAATTGCAATTACATAGGATGACAGTGTAGACTACTACATTCAAGCACAAGTGCTATTAATTATTACAAGCACCGTTAATTAAAATAGCATAAATTACAAAAGTGAACAAACTATATATAGCTATGGCTCACGAAAATAATTGACAATAAATCTTTGCTTTGAAAAACTCTTCCTGTCGAAATCTGGGTGTTTGTTTGTTTTGAGCGCATTTTAATCGGAAACCTAGAAATGAAAATATGATCATTTGTTGGCTTCCCAACTTACTTTCATCTACTCATCTACTCAATCGTCGTGTTTCATGAAGATGGAAACAATTGGCTATATTGACTATATTGCTAAGTCTGCTAACTAAATGCCAAATTAACATGAAAGAGGACAACCAAAAAATTATAGTCGAAACACTTATAACTTCCCTCCAATGAAATCCATGGTAAACCTTTTCTTGGTAAGAATAACGTTATGTCCGTTATTTAATTTGTCACTACTTTAACTCACTTTTAAGGGGTAAACGTTCGCAAATTTGGACACGAAAATACAGAAACGTGTAGAGTGGTTCAGCGGCCCGTTCAGTTTCGATGAAATTACTTTTGTAGAGCCCAGAAGGGAGACTTTACCCAGAGCCAGTCGTGAAACCCCCTATTCTGTGTTTTCTTTCACCGCACGGTCTTGTTGTTGGGACGATTTGGAAAACACCATCTTTACTAAAGACCTTTTGGAAAATGAATTATAGAGTTGTTATGGTATTACAACCCTTAGTGTTACATGTACGTCAAGACGATAATAACAACTTGATCACTTAATTAATGAATAGGTATTCATTTCATAGTTATTACTTAAGTATCAATTGAAATTATATAATATCGATGGCATTATCGAGTAGGTCATTCAAGCACAAGTGCTGTTAATTATTACTAGCCTCATAATTAAAATCACATAAATTACAAAAGTGAACAAACTATTGTTCGCGAAAATAGTTATAAGTGACAATAAAGTTTTGCTTTGGAAACACTCCTTGTCGAAATCTGGATATTTATTTGGTGTGAAAGCGTTTTTATCGTTTTATCGTGTTTCATGAAGAAGATGGGAATTGGCGGATGCGGACAGATGCAAGGTTGGGTTGTAACGCAGGACCAGGAAGGACACAGTCATTGAGAGAAACACTGTCTTGCTCTCGGGCGGAAGCATCAAATACGATTCTACATTTTTATGTCTTTCTGTCAGCACGAAAAAGAGCATGGTGCGGTAAGTACCGGACACTTCTATCTCCACTGCTCAGGTCTCGAGCTTCCTCTGCAAAGCCTTTCTCTACGTACTGGTTGATCGCAGTGGTGTAAGCATCCGCTTTCTCGGGGTCTCGTGTCAACTTCCTTTCAATACTTTCGAGTCGTTTCACAGCTTGTGCATAGTTTTTCTCTAGCTTTGGATGGTCTCTCTTCCATGGTAACCGAACTTGGTAGTTCTTGCCGTCAAGAACTAATCAATTGGCATTACTGAAACTATGAATCCAGCTATGCCGCAAGAAGAAGAGCTTGCAGTCAATGACTTCAATAGTTGCTCCAAGCGCCAAAAGTTGCTCAAAAATTGCCGAGCACAATCGGGACAGTTTTTATGGAAAAGTTCATCGATAAACTGGTAGATGTGGATAACATTTGCAAGTCCGCGAAAACTATAAGGAAGTCACCATTCTCCATTGCCTGATTTCAAGCCGAAAAGGACTAGGTACGAATCTACAAATTATGGGATAAGCAGCTATTGATCCACATGGTCATAAAGTGCACACCAAGCTTTACAAAATCCCGAAGTTTGGTGCAAATAGACCCAATAGTAAGCAAGATACAACCATTTGAAAACATCAAAATTTCCAAAAAAATGTATGGCCATCCGAATGCTGTGTCCGGATGACCAAATATTCTAATTATGTGTAATTTTGGCGTTTTTAAATGGCTATATCTCAGTCAAAACTAGCCTGATTAACTTGGGGATTTTGTGAATCTCGGTGTGCTCTTTCTGACTATGTGGATCAATAGTTGCTAATCCCATAATTTACAGACTCGTACTTAGTCCTGTTCGGCTTGAAATCAGGCAATAAGATTGGGCTATTCCAATAACAATGCCAAACCCGGGTCTCGCCCGCAAAAAAAGTAACAAAGTGGATAAACACTTACATACCGACCATCGCCGACTAAAGATCTGTAATCCGAATTTCCTTTAGGATCCACAGTTTGAATTCAAGACAGGTAGAGACCGGAGTCCAGGCCAAAATTCATAGCTGATTCATGATCCGCCGTATTTTTGAAATCCGCCAATCCGTTCAATTTATCGCAAAAGTCCTTTAATCAATCCGTGGGTTTTTTTTAAGCCAAATCCGTCGATCCGCGAAACTATTCACTCAGTCTCTAGTCTGAAAATAAGCAGATAACATTTGGTGAGAATTTTTGTTCTAAAACTAGAAATTGGCGCCGAAAAAAACCTTCGTGCCATTTAAGTAAGTCGATATAACTAATAAATTGACCTCCCGGAGATATATGCCTACCATGACGTAGTTTTGTAACACATCTTTCAAGTACGTCACGATGAAACGCAACATCACTGTTCATGGATTCTTGTCACGCAACACCGAAAAGGAACGGAAACAGTCGACAAAACGAAAATGGCTGGCATTTGTCTCTTTGTTTCCTTTGTTATAACTTTAAGGTGTTTATCGGCCGATGGGACTGAAAATCTTCCTTCGGATAAAGCTTCTTTTGATACAAGTTCTGTCGAATTAATGGCAAATGACAACTGCACAGCACCGAAACCAGTTGTGTCTGATTCTAAACTGAAATGGCGTGCGAGTGTTAATAATCAGAGCGTTTTTCTTCCCGGAGAAAAGGCTGAATTCGTTTGTAACGAAGGATTTCGTCAGGTCGGCTGGCTACCGACACTAACTTGTCAAACCAACGGTACCTGGAGTCCTCGTATGTCAGATATTGAGGATTTCAAAGCAACTGGGAGCGATCTTGGTGAGTAATATTGCATACTTCAACCTGGATAAAATTTAATGACGTATATTATTAGTTCACCGATCAATATAATCATTCACAGCTTCAGTCTTGCCCCTAAAAATAATCCACAAATATCATTTTCCTTCGAAAGAATATTTTTCATCGCTTTCTAGTGAGGAGACATGTGACCCGTATAAATTGACTTTTGAAATTGTGAATAGTAATTTAGGAAAATGTTCGTTGTTAGTGCCGATCACTATGATTAGCTGAAACACTATTTATACTAGAGAAAAACTTTGGATTAATGTTCTGTCTTTTGAACAACTTTCTATTAAATGGTCGAAAAAAATCTCATCCTACTAGACTCGCGAAATTATTATGACCGTTCGTGGCCAAGCAAATGAAATATAAATCGCCAAAAATTAAAATAAACCAAGTGACAGTATGCAAATGAGTGAAGGTTTTCATTTCAGACATTCAATATACTGTATTTTTGTTTTCGGCGCCAAATTACATTTCGTCGAAGCTAAATCGTTGTTCATGGCAGTTAAATCTATGATGAGAAGATAACGAGCCATATAATCGAAAAAGGCATTGATAGCTGTGAAACAGAGGGCCTTTTTCCACGTAACATTCATGCTATCGTGCGTATCCTGTTAGCTTCTTGTTGAAAGCACAGTGTACTAGTATAGACAGCTGATCCCACAGCTGTCAAAACAGTTCCTCGTCCGTCAAAGCGGACACCAGTCCCAATTAATTCCCAAACTTGTCTTTCCACATAATATTTTAAGGCAAAGCTAACCTGTAGTAATTTAAACGGACACCTAACAGTAACGAGGGTCCGTGAGTGTCCGATTAATAAATATGTCATGTGAGGTGCACAAGACTTCGGCTATCTGTACCGTGGAACTTTGAGGATGAGTTTTAATTCTCCAGTTTCCTTTAGATAAACTTTTTTTTGAGCGAACGTAAGTTCAATCTAACGCGCGCCCCTATTGGTTGATTCATGGTTACGCGGTAATGAATGACGCTTAGTGCCCCTGATAGTTCGTCCCGTTTTTACACTGGACGCAAAAGACAGTAAACGTATAATCCGTCTGAACGGATTATGCTTCTCTACTAAAGGAAAACAGCCATATTTTACATTGGAGCGGTATCGATACACTGCACGAGATGAGTTTTTCGGTTACCGTGCCTGCAAGTTTTTTGAATCATTTTAAAAACCAACAACGCGTTGCCGAAACAAAATGTCGCGTTAACGACATCGTCAAATTGAGTTCATAAACCTTTTTCCTTAACCAATCTTTTGATGTTAAATTTGTTCACAGGTTATTGTATCACCAACAATTGCAGTGCGGGCGGAAGGTTCAACTGTACATCAGGCAACAAAAATGTCGTCCCCATCTGCAAAAGGTGCGACTGCGTTGCAGATTGCGTTGACGGCAGTGACGAAATGGCCTGCGGACCAATCTTGATAAACGTGACAGGCTGGGCTACAGGCGAGATAAATTCCCCTAAAAATGAGATTCATTACACGGGTTTTTTGAACTGCTCAAGAACACTGTGGACTGATGACGCCGGGTTTTACATCAAGCTGCTATTCACAAACTTTTCCATGTCTGGAGATTGTGGAGATAACTACGTTTTCATGGAAAACGCGACTTTTAGCGACACTGATTCACCGCCCGTGTGTTGCAAGGAAACTAAGAATATTTTCTGCGTGTTTGGAAAACAAACGGGCCCTCCACCCCTATCGCACACAGACAAGAACTTTATGATCGTAAATTTCGTTTCCAAAGAATCAAACTCTTCCAGCTTTTCAGCCAAGTGGTATAACGTAAATAGATTTTATCCTTATGGTATCATACCAAAAGACGATTCAGATTACCCTGAGAAAATTAAATTCGAAAGATCATCGAGTGGTAATGTACAGGATGATTCGACCGATCCCACCTACATAGCCGCCACGGTTATATTCAGCATTGTCGCTTTTGTTGTTTTGGCAATCGTGGCGTGCAAACTTGGCCGGCGTTTCCTTGGGCCTCAGTGTAGCCTGGAATATTGTTGCGCATGGATTGCGGCTAAGAGAAGTCAGCGGTCGCCACGTCTGTCGCCTCGGCGAGAGCCTTCCCCGGAGACGAGTCCCATCCGAGGGGACATTCAAGAAGCGCATTCAAGTGGAAGGGCCCAGAGGACGGTGCCTGTTGATGCTAGGGCTTCCTCGGTTTCGAGAACCCGCTATGGGAGCGCCGAGAACGCATAGACAATAGCATAGTCCTTCAAAATTTAGAAAACGTTATCACCCTTAACCACGCCCAATTTTGTCAGATTTTTATTAGAATAGGATCCACTGAAAAGTTATCAAAAAGATTTCAAAAATGGAATTGTCGAATAACTGTCGAGAATTACTGAAATCGTGGAAATTTTAATATACCTGCATGATATACGGTGAAGCGAAATGAAAAGCAGCTAGCGGTGGAGAAAGTTCAGTTTTTGAGTAAAGCAGCTGGTAGCAATAAAACATGTAATCAAGTTTTTTAAAAAAGTCAAAAAGTAACTTGTGCTGTAGTTCGTTTCAGTTCTGATAGAAACATCCCTTAATAAAGTTGCCAACTCTCGAAAACTAGGCGACAGTAGAGCGTCTTTTTACAAGCGTTGTTGCGTTTTGCCCAACTCTTATGAGTGCAGTCATATTAATTTTGAAATTAAAGATACTTCGGGCAGTTTTGGAAAAGAAACCACATTTGGGCAAGTTTTTGATCATCCCGCTCCTTGGCTAGACCTTTCCACAAATATTCGGATATTTTGAGGGATATTTAGAAGTTTCCAAGATATATAGAAAACATGAGATATTTAGAAACATTGGTGGCTTTTTTGGCTAAGCCCTGTGTTTTCCTCGCTATTTTCCTGAAACAATACTCTGTTCTATACCAGAAACAGTTCAGTTCAGCGATTTCCCACTCGCAAAATGTATTCCATATCATTAAGAGGGCTAAAGCAGCAATCTTCCAAAATGGCAGATGTTGGTAGCATCGAAGTTCCTGAATCTTCTTCCTCGACTCCTTCTACTATTACAAGAAAACTTTAAAAATTTTGGCCTTATTGATTCAAAATTTGTGTATTTTTACCAGAAAAATAAGAGATATTTCGAGAGTTTTCCGAGATATTTAGAAGATTATTTGAGAATTTTCGGAAAAAAATTTAGACGATTTTACGTGGTCTAGGACCTATTCTTGGGTTGCACGTGACGTCATCATTTTCTAAAATCCAAAACTAAAGAGCCACTAAAGTTATTATCCTCATCAGACATAAGAAGGGGTAAATTTATATCTGTGAACAGCTTTTCAGCTCAATAGCTTGCTTCCTCTGAAAACAGGCTCGGAGTTATGGCGGTGCGTGACATAAAGCTACGAACGCGTTTGTCAGAAAACACATACTTATCTCGTGAGTTTTAGCCTTTTTAGAAGTTAAAGTAATAGGGAAAGTGCCTTATTTATTAAATGTTAACTTCATCAGTTCAGATAATCAGTCGCCTAGATAGCCAAAGTAAGTTCCAGATGTTTACACTATTTTTCGGCCGCGATGTTGGTGTACCTCCATGGTACACCAACATGGCGACTTCACACTGGACTCTGTAAATTTGTGCAAAATATTTCGACGGATATCTGAAGTTTGGGAAAACGCACAGACTTAAAACTGGGAGAAGTGTCTTCTTTATCAATCTCCTATAACAACACAATTTCTTGACTTGATCCATTGGATGGTTTTTGAATTTTTTTTTTTTTTATTGCGTGACAGTGTAAGCCAAGAATAGGGCCTGAGACTGAACGACTCGCTCGACAGAACGCAAGTGGTATTACAAATGGAAGAATAAACTTTACGGCAACGGAGATCAAAGCGTTTGTGTTTACCGATGTAGTTTAGCAGGTACAGGGAACTGCATTTATTCTGAGTGGCCATTGTAAGCAGTAGGTGTTCTTCTTTCGGTTCTTTTCCAAAAGTACCGCCCGTGTTATAAAAAGACATTGGAAACAAGAGCTAATCATGCGTATGAATTATTGTTAACCGATTCAAGCGTGATATTTGGTTGGATCCTGACTCACGGAGCGAAAATGAAAATCTTTCGCCTTTTTCTCGCCGTAATTGTCGTCCAAACCCTAACTGTGGTTGCTCAGAGCTTCGAAGTCCATGGCCGGAACACATTGTTACGAAGAAAGCGGCTCGTCACATTAAACAACGGCACGTGTTCCACGCAACAACTGAAATCGCCCGTCGATGGCGCCATTTTGAAAACTCCACAAGAAGGAAATTCCATTTCTTTCCATCATGGGGACAAAGCTGACTTTGTTTGCAAAGACGGATATCAACAAGTTGGTCAGCTGAAATCATTTATTTGCCAAGAAGATGGAAAATGGAATGAATCTACTTCAAATCGCTCTGGTAAGGCGTTTACTTTAAGATGGTTAACGCTTGAAAAGGTAAATTTAGAGTCATCATCAGATAAAAACATTCAAGTCGGTTAAACCGCCACGATGGTGAGATGTTATATTACGAATCACAGTATATGGTATCAGGAATATTAACACCGTTTGTCGGTAGAAACAGATCTGCCATTTTCTGTATTATACCGAACAATTATGTTATTTTTTCTTCCAGTTTATTCTGAATGTTTGAAAAAGGACTTTGTAAATTAATATATGTAAATTATACTGTGGCATGAATTTGCCGTAAACAAGTTGGTAAAACCAGCTAAAGAACTTCAGTAATTGACTTTATCTCCCACATTTAGATTCGGCAGCAATAACACCAAAAGAAAAATACATATATATATGTACATATATGCATTAAAACAAATGTGCAAATACAGTTCTGTCAGAATTTGGAAAAGAGTGAAAAATTTGCATTGGACACTCATAAACATTGTTGATATTGCTTTTCCATCTTTCGTCGCCCTTTTAGCTTTACAAAATGGAAGCACCTCTGAGTTGCTGATCCACTTTTAGGGCGAAGAAGAAAGGACTGAGTAAACTTTATGTTTTTTCGAAACTACTCTAGTACATCCACTTCTTCTGCCTTTGTCACGAAATCTTCACTCTGGTTCTAAAGATTTTCTATAGCGTGAGGTTTCAGTTTTGGCTCCGTCCACGCATTTGAAAACTCAGCTTTATTTCTGCGGTTAGGCCTACCGTCCACATTAATCCGTCACGAGAACGGAGCTTTTCGAAAACGCTCTTTAAACCGGAGGAATTTGAAAAAGGCCGGGTTTTCGTTTTCGTGTGGAAAGAAAACATTTTGAAAACAGAGTTTTTTGAAAACGATGACCTCACGGTAATCCTGTGATTTCCCTGCCCGGGATTTTTTGAAAAACAAATCCAAAATGGCTGGTGATTGTTGCGTTTTTAAATTCCTCCGGCGTAGTGTGAACGAGACCTCAGTAAAATGATTATTGCAATGATTATAAAATGGATTTTGTTTTTCTTTTTGTCTTTCTTTCTTGACATGGTAGGATTTTGTGCAAAGACCGACGAAGTGTCCTGTGGACCGACAGTGTTAAACGTGACTGGAAGAGCCACAGGAATACTAACCAGCACGACAATCAATCGACATCCACCCAGCAAAACAGTGGATTGTACCTGGAGTCTTGTCACCGAAGATCCAGGCTTCTACATCAAGCTGCTTTTCGTTAACTTTTCACTGTCTCCGAATTGTACAAACAATTTTATTTCGCTGGAAAAGGTTAATTTTACTGATTTTGGTAGAACAAAAAAATGCTGCAACAGCCAAAGTGAAAATGTGTGTAGGTTCAGTGGAAAGAGCTCACCGCCTCTCTCTCGCTCCGTATCACACTCCATGACTGTCAAGTTCTACTCTAAAGATCTGAGCAAGTCGTTCTTCAAGGCAATATGGTACAATGTCAACGGTTTGTATCCGAATGGCCTGGTCCCCCAGCGAGATCTTACGTACGCGCCGCGGATCGTGTTACCAATGCCGTCTCAGACTACGATTGCACCTGACACGCCATCAGTTCTCGCCTTCACCGTCTTCGCGTTAATACTTTTTGCTGTAGGTGTCTTCATAGCTTGTAAGTTTGGTAAGCGTTACCTGGGACTCAGTTGCAGCCTTGGGGACTGCTGGGCACTGGTGACGTGTAGATGGACGTCTCGAGCCCCGTCGATACCGTATCGTACCCGGGAGGGGCCGTCAGAAGCAAGAGGGCTCATGACGGACACTGACAGCCCACTCACTGGCGAAAGGATTCGTGTTTCTAGAGTGGAACAGATCTAGTCTGCTGGAAGCCGCCGGGTTTTTCTCGTAGGGTCACTTAGACGAGTGTTTAGTCATCGCGAACGCAAAAGGGCGGTATGGCGGTGGCCGAGTGGGGAAAAAGGCGAGACGAGAAAAAACCTTAGGGCTAGGGTTAGGGTTAGGGTTATGTTACTATGTTTTTCTTCTCGTGCGTGCCGCGCCCATGTCTCGTCCCATTCCCCCTCACGCTAAAGCGTCATTCCTCATAATCGCTGCTGAATTTCGAGAGGAAAACAGACTGCCAGCAGTCTAGAACAAATCGTACCCCGGAGACGGATCTAGTGGGCCGTCGCATGACAGCTCGGAAAATATTGCCTGATAAACTTGGCGCAGTTTAAACTTTACTGAACGAGGTGACGATCTCACTTGCACAGTAACAGTCCAGTCACTGACTCTTCCTTCCCTGCGCCCTCTATGTATGGATTGAATTCAGGCGCTATAGGGCGGGAAAAGAAGACTGGTCTAACACAGTAAGTGAGCAGAATTAATATTTCTGACAATGAAGCATCGCGGAACAGGCAGAAACTTATTACATGATATTTTCGCGACACGTAAATTTCGCGAATTTCGGGAAAAAAAAACTGCGAGATAAAAGTGACGCGAACTATAAGTGTCGCGAACATAACATGACCCGAAAATTAAGTGAGACACATTATGTTACTACTAATAAAGTGTATTATCGTTTGTCTCACGATGTAGTCACTTGAGATGTAGATCGCGACGTTTCGACTGCTTACTGCTAGTCTTCTTCAGGCGATAAGGTCGTCTGATTGCACGGTATCACTTATATCACAAAGGTCGGCTGAGACAAACGATAATACACTTTATTATTGCATATACCACGATGAATAACAACAACCTTTTCCTCGACATTATGTTGCTGTTAACATAAAGTCCAGCCGTTGCGTTGTTACTTTTGACGTTATTGAACCTTTCATAAAGTCGGTTTACTAAATTCAAGGACATGTTTAAGTAACATTGCCAAGGAAATAAATTGTGTGTAACTCGAAAATGCGAAGTTAAAGTGACTCAAAATACAAAATTTCGGCAAAATGGCGGAATTGAAGTGTCGCGAGATATGCGCACCTCAAAATCGCGAAATAAATGTGTCGCGAAAATTCCATGTAATGAGGTAGCTATTGTGCCCGCAGGGGCCAGAAGACTGGGTCCGCATTAGAGATTTTATGGACAGTTTCTTGATAAGAGTAGAATAGGACAGTAGTTCATTATGAATTTGAATCAGTCAAGTTTAGCTCTTGCCTCAATCACCAAAATTTTGTTTGCGGGAGGGGGGAGGGGGGGGGAGGAAGGGGGAAAGGGGGGTGTTGTAGAGGGGATGAACTTTGCCTTTGTCCACAATGTGGTGTTGGGTTTTCGCATCCGGCGGTGTAATACATGACAGGCACGGAACTTACATGTGCGTTTTTAAGCTTTCCGACGATTGTTACTTAATTCCGACACGGCATTCATGTAAAACAGGCTTTAATTTAGTTTACGTTTCTTTAACAGTTAGCAATATTTTAAATTAGAGAAGATTAATCTGTATACATAGTCTTCCGTAATAGGTTGTAGCTTTTATATTAAATTGTTAATGCCTGATGTATTTACCGTGTTTTCAAATAAAGCTGATGATGATGATGATTATGATGACGACGTAATAAACTGGCTCTGAGGTCCCTGCTGACCTACACAGTTATGTGCTCTCTTTCTGGATAGCGAAGGCCAAATCAGCTCTTCCTGCAAATCATTTTCTATAAGTTAGATTAAGAGCGATCTTAACCTTTCCTCACTTGCGCCTAAGCCAGCATATCCGACACAGCCAGCCCCAAAAAATGCTGTCATCCGCACACGGCACACATGATCATTATTTTAATGGAATAAAAAATAGTGAAGCAAAGCTAAATGCGCAAATGTGCAAAGCCAAAGGAAGACAAAAGAAAGCGAAAAAAAGAAAGGAAACATACAAGCACACTAAGAGAAGTAACGTTACTTGCGTTATATTTCTTTAATCAAGCTACGATGGCCTAAGAGCAATACTTACTTTTATGTTATATTTATCTCCTTTTTTGTGTACTAGAGCGAACCTATCGAACAGTTTTTTTTTTACTATTCAGTTACCCAGTTGATAAAAAGTGGCACTGAGTCAAAATTATTTCTTTTCTCTCAGTCAATCGCTCACATAGTAAATTAAATGAAATTTGAATACACTAAACCCATTCCAGCTCCCTTAGACCAAGCTTTCAAGACTGTCAAATCGAGTCGAGGTCCTCGAGCTGTAAACCTGAAGTATGGAAAATACTCAGAATATTGAAGTAAACTCTTTACCTTATCTTTAAATGTGCCTCCCTCTGTTTATAATCCGTAATTCAGAAGCCTTATTAACAATCTAATCATGCTTTTGCAAATTCCGTAGCATGTAGTACTTATGGTTTGCTGAAGCTTTTAACTTGTCAGCTATGGTTATAAAAATACTGTTATAAATGTCTGGCTACAATGGTTTGTTGTACGTGTATTTTCGTGAAACAGTTTCAATGATCGGACCACTTATTTCCTGGATCAAGCGCAGTGACAGTTAACTAGAACAAACACAGAGACGCTTTTCCCACCAAACTGGCACGTCCTGAACTCTGCACTGCCTTACTTCTCGGTGCTGATATCGGTCTAGCATGGCAGGAGAAACACCACTCTCAACATAATGCGACTACAAAACCATTGGCATCCAACCGCAATTGCTTAGTACACGAGTGGACGGCCTCAGGCCTGGAAAAGTGAAGGCAGCGACAAGAAAGAAACAAGCGGATACAGCAGATAAACCCTAAAACGAAAAGTCAAAATGTAGCTGTACTAGGCTACACCTTTGTAGGGAATTCGGTTGGAGAATACCCTTAAATTTCACACGACGTTGACTCATTCTCTTAGATCGTGCATGAGATATGCCTCTAATTACGACTGTAAAAGGAAAAGAGATCTCCTTAGTTCGTTATCCAGGAGCTATACTTTTTAAAGCAGTTCATGCCTAGATTGCTCAAAGATTGTATTTTCAGAGAAAAAGAGCAGCCCCACCCCCAGACCCCCCCCCCCGGCCGAAGCCACCACTACGGAGGTTACATGGAAAGGATCCCCCTGTTTTTCGCGGAGCACAATGACTTCTTTCCCGCTGCAAGAGTCTTAAAACAACATCTGTATGTATTTGATACGCTGGAATGCACGCGCATACGCTGCAAGTATTTCCGGGGTTAAACGTGTTCCTGTTTACAACTGTGGACGGAATGAAAAGAGAAATGACCCTCTCCTTCCCCGAATCAAAGACGAATTCGCGCTTAAACCAAAGCAAGCCATGTTTTCCCCCATCAATGACACGCGGGAGGGGGGGGGGGGGTTATCTTAATCTTTCATTGTAATAGTAGCTGAGGTGTATTCCAACACACCATTAAAACGAAACTCCAGTATGAGAGGAACCGCTTACAAATTTTTATTTTTTTTCCTTCTCCCTGCCATGCACGTGTTGGTTTAAATGAGAGTGAGGGACGAAAGAGTTGGAAACGGTAAAGTGCTTTTTAAACTAATGGTCATTTTTTTTTTTGGTGCAGCGAACTGGAAGGAGCGATATTGCGAGGCCGGGCACTAGAAACAGGATACTTAAGTTTCTTACATAGCCGTTACTTTGGGTGGTCACGCAATTCTCTTCCTCAATGAGCGTTAGTGACTCTCAGGTCGCGCCTCCAAAGCGGCCTGGGTAAACTGTTTTTCTTTTGGGTACCAGGAAAGAATGTATGACGCTTTCATAAAAAGAAGGATTGGCACTTTCAAAATGAAAAATCGTCGTTCGAGAATTTTTTTATGGTTAATTTTTTTATGACTAACAGTAAAAATGTTGAATTTTTCGCCTAACGACTAAACTTTTGGCTGTTTCACAGGTCTTTTGAGATCCATCATTCTACTACACACGGCGCGCAACAAAACGTCCCTAGTCCAAACCATAAATTGCTATTTTGCTCCGTTCCGGCAACCTTAATTGGTTTTTGTAACCATTACTGTACATACAATTTGTGCTGGTTTTGCATTTGGCCGCTGATGAAGCGTCCGCCGGCAGTGGCTCAAGGTTTAACGTGGTCTGTGTTAAGCATGAACTTAGAACCTGTTTGAATATTTAGGCTAAACGAGTTTTACAAGTTGAACGTCTGGCTCCTGTTAAGGTTAAATTTCACTAGGCTCTTATTATAATAAAGTCTAATACGCGCGTCTCTACCGTAATTCCACCTCAACTTGAAAATAGCAAATCATTTACTGAGTAACTTAATTCTTTCTCAGCTTATAATTTAACGGTAACCAAAGAGTGAATAGTTTTAAAATGTCATTGATCCTGCTGTTAGACTGCGATTTAGATGCTTCTCCTGTGATTCGGCTCAATGACATGTACGTCTGTTACATCTGCAGTTACAGCTGTACACTGTCATCAGCCATTGCAAAACATGTGGTTCTTCGCAAAGTCCTTCATTGCTGCTCGTAGTTCACGCATGCGCCAGCAGTACACAAATGGGTTTAGGGACGAGTTGATGTAAACAAGGACACCAGACCAACTGAGAGCCAGGCGAACGATTCTGATCTGCCAGCGCGCATGCTTGATTGCAATTCGTACGCATAGGTAAGGCAAGTAACAAGCACACAATAAAAGAAACACCACAAACATGCTGACAGCGGCATTTCTGTGACGTTTTCTACTCAAAGTTGCCCCTCCGTAAATGTGCGCCTGGTCTTGAGTTTGGTTCTGATGATGTCTGGCGATTCGGAAAATCATCGAATATAGGAAGGAGTTAACGAGCAGAGACGAAGATATGAGGAAGACGCAGAGCACACGATGCAAATCATTGTTAGCTATACCCGTCAAAGCGTAAGCTAGACTTGTTATCCAGATCGTAAGCAACGTGATCGTCGCGCGCTTGGCTGTAACAACACCTGGGTATCTTAAATGAAGATACAGAGCGAGAAACCTGTCGATGCTTACTGTTGTTAGTGTTAACACCGTAGCGGAAACAAATACCGCCTGAGTCACTCTGTACGCTGTCCATACGACGAGCAAATATTTCTGCGTGATAATTTCAAGTAGCAAGCAAATTACATACAGCGGTTGAACGATAAAACCGACGCCGAAATCAGACAAAGCGAGCCCAAAAAGAAGGACGTGCGAAGGCGAGTGTAAAGATGGTGTTTTCCAAATCGTACCAAGAACAAGGCCGTTTCCTGTGAATGCGGTGAAAGAAAACACGGAATTTACAACACAGCCGACTATAAGACTGTTCAAATCTCTTGTTGGAAGGCCATCTGTGATTTGTTCTGTGCTATTGATATTTTCTCTCACAGGGCTTGTCATGGTAGTTTCTTCAAACCAGGCTCACGCGGAACGATTTTTCTATGTAAACTTCTGCAGAAAGCTTTACAGGATGTTTTAATTTGCAAATGGAGGTACGAAACTACCCGGTCGGGTTTCGCCTTTCGTAATGCATGTTTGAAGCAAAAACTTGTCACGCGTCAATATCGCCCCAACCGGACCTTTTGTCAGCTTCTTCCGGACAACAGTGATGTAGCTTTAATTAATGTTACATTTTCCACTATTGGTCCAATCCAGTGACTTTAGCAGATTTCTAGTTGAGCAGAAAATTTAATTAAACTTTTGATTATTTTCCGAAGTATCATAACATTGACTGACAGCCCTGCAATATTGAAAAAAATAATTTCAACCTTTTTGAGAAACCAAATGAAACCTATTTCTCTTAATTGTTTCTTTTGACCAGATGTTTGGTTGAAAGAGCACGTGTTTGCAGTTAACTTAGCTAGTTGTTTTGCTTTATTCGACACCTCGCGCAAAATTCGTCTTCCGCTAATTAACCAGCAAATTTTGCAACAGTTATGAATGAATGAATGAATGAATGAATGAATGAANGATGATCATTCTTTACTTTCATCTACAACCGCAGTTCATATATGAATTATTTCATATAAACTTCACATCAATGCTTCATTTATGTCGGCTGTTGCGCGGGGTAACCAGTAAATTGGTTATGGTTGGAATAAATGTTACGCAAAAAGCTCGATCCGGAATATAATTCCGGATAAAATTCACCAGAACTGACTCGGAGTTTCTGGGACTGAGCTTAGTAGCCGTGTATATGGTCTAAAACTGGTGGGAGGCCTGGCACTGGTAGATAAAAACAAATTTCAGGAAAGCGCATTTTCCATTCGAAGTTTCTGGTTCGATATTTTGGATTATTTTTCAAGACCTTCGGGTTATTTCGGAAATTTTCCTGCAGGGCAAGGTAAATAGTCTAGTCCATTTATATTCCGCTCGAATTTAATGAATGTTTAAATACCCTTATTACTTAAACAGAAAAAAATGCATCGTTTTTTCCTTAAAACGTCATCAAAACGATCACTCCTGCTTCGGCCCCAGACTATACTATCTCTTAAGGGTTCGCGGACAGTTCACAAGTACTTTTTTTTCAAAAAGTATCTCAAAGGAAATAAATGGGCATTTGGTAGCGTGCCTAAAAACTAGTTTACAATTGTTATTTGTCATAGCGGATTTGAAAAGTCCTACAAAGTTTAATAGCAAAGTATTGATGGATTGATGGTTTAATCGATAGACTTCAGGAAATAAGAGGAAATCGCGTGGAAAGAGTGTTAATTATTTGGGGACACTCATGTTCTACGCGAACTGGCAACTTAATTCAGTAAGCTTAGAATTTCTTTAAATAATTTACTTCTTCATGTACAAATCTAGACACACATCATATATGAAACACGCTGGCCAGTGAAGCCACCTTGCAATTAAGTTATTCTCGAAAGATGTTACAATTATTTGTGTAAAAGAGATCATAAAACTAAATACAGCCATGCCCAGAGCGGAAAACCCTGAAATTCAGCAGCTGGCAAAAAGCGGGAAACATATGCCCCTGACCAAGGCAGTGCAGTGCTTACTTTGAGGTTTTAGGATGTCCTATTTTAATATGTTACATAAACAACTTGGTGAGAAACGATCTTAGTGTGATCTAACCATATACAAGCGCGAACGAAATAAACAGAAAAAAAAAATGTTAAGCTTGTTTGTCAAAGAAAAAGAATTTAAACCAAGCTTGAGTTGAAACACGTTGAAGGCTCATTAGAACGAACGATTTTAAGTTGAAAGACGATGAACCAATGATTTCCAAAACTGTTTCATTGCAACGCGCATCACTGGCAGACGCCAACAGTAAATAAGGGGATTAATTGACGAGTTAAGATAAACAAGCGAGGCTGACCATCTCAACATAAATGCTCTGTATGGCGAGGGAGGCCAATGGGTGAAGTTAACAACAGCGCGCATGCAAACATAAGGAGAATAACAGATAATAAGTAAAATTAGTAAGACTATCATGGTGATGAGAGATTTTCTGTAGCGCTTCATGTCAAAGGCCTCAGGTTGGTGTGCCAGTGATTGATTCTGAATCTGAATTCGGTGCCGTCGACAAATGCGATAAATCGTCGAGCACGTCGATGTGTTTACCACGATGCATAGAGCGATAACGAAGAACGAAACAGAACGATGAAGTTCCCTGTCGACGAGGAACGTTCCGGCATACACCACGCTTGTTAGCCAGATGAGGCAGAGTACGAGGATAGTTTTCTTTACGGTAACGACAGCAACGTACCTGAGATGCAGTATGAGAGCAAGACATCTGTCCACGCTGACCGAGGTGAGCGTCAAAATT